AAAAAAAAAAAAAAAAGAAAGTTACGGATAATGGTGCAATTTTATTTGTTTTGTTAATTTATTGTTGCAAGTTTCTTTCGTCTGTCACGTATATCATGATATGTGAAACAATGTCTATGAAGAAACACATTATATGAAAAATTAACTTTTTCTACTCTGGTATATAGAATTTCTTTTCAATCAAGCTACATCTATGCTACTTTCAATTACGTGAAGTGAAATGTAAAATTTTCATATGCAAAAACATTTTTATAAGAAATGTATTTCCATTGTAGATTCGAAAATACCTAACATGCAGAATATTAAACTGTTTCTTCGTATTTTGAATCATTGGTATTAATTATGTTTAGATTTGAAGTTATATTTATATATGTTAGAAACTTTATTATTTATTTTGTTACTAGTTTCACAGACGAAATTATGAAATCTTTAAATGAAAAGTTTATGTAGTACAAATTTTCTTTTATTATTATGTCTGTGAAAACTTCTTTTGCAATCACTACACATTTGCCGTAAGATAGTATTTCAACATCGTAACGTAAAATTGACGATTAAAGAAAATGTGTGATAATATTGCAGAAAGGAGCCATCGTGTAATTTCTCATCCTGGATGCAATAAATAATATATAAAAACTATACTTTTTACATCGAAGTACTTAGTAAACTGAGAAATCTTTTTTACATTGTATATCATATAGTTGTAGAAATCAAGTTTTGTTAGTTTTACAATTCTGTCTAAAGTCAGACCTTTAAACGTTCTCTAAAATAAAGATGTATGTGAAAAGATCAAAGGTTCTTTTCTGTAAATGTACACCATTTTCACACTTTGTTCAGACACAAAGTATATATATATATATATAAAAAAAAAAAATCTTTTTAAAATTATTATTACTTCCACAAAGTTCTAAATTGCCGTTTCGATATTTCATGTAATTCCTTTACACAAACAATTGAAGCACTTTGAAAAAGCACCTTGAGTTGTTTAAAGGAATTATGATCAACTATCCAGCGACTATCCGCTTTTTACAAAGGATGTTGCCTTTCAATTTCTTTTTCTTTCTTCTTTTATTTTTTTGTTTTTATTCGTAGTACGACTCGTTAATAAATATAGAGAATAAAAAGCGAAGAGGGCTGTGTACACTGGGAAGTAATAAGCGCAACAATACTGTTTGTGCAAGCTTCAAATTAATTGCATGTTAAACATGTCACTATGTGTATAATAATACACACGTACCTATGTTAATGGTATGAAAGCCACATACAATCTATATTAATGTTCTTTGTTTGAACATAACGAAACAATAATAATTATATACATATCGGTATATAATGCATATAGTCAGCGAGCACTTGGCACTTAGCAGTACTAATAGTACTTTTGTGACACTTACGTTAAATTAATTCTCCCATGAGTGTAAGATTTTTTTTTTTTTTTGTTATATTAGTTGTAAACATAATAGGCAATGCGTACACGTGCATTTCGGCATTGTTACAATTGTGGAAATTATTTTGTTGGTATCATTTGCTTGGTGAAGTAAAGTAAAAAATTCTGTAGACGTTTATTTTATATTAAATTTACATGATGTTGATATACTTGATAACGTGCTGCCTGTTGTGTTTAACATGATTGTTAGTCTGGCATTTTTAATGTATTTTTCTAAAATAAATAACTATGGAAAAAGTCGTATTATAATATACATATGTAATATTTACAATCACAGTAATATTTACTACCCTTGATTTCGTTCTGATCATTTCAAATTATGGTGAAATAAATAAAAGTATTTATGTTATTCCGTTTCGTGTCGTATTGCTGCATTTATGATAGACATAAATTATAAATCCGATTCGCCCGTTCTGTTGCGAAGTACTTTAAGAAACGCTTGGAAACATCAATTTCAATTTTTTCCCCCTTTTCCAGTCAGTGCGTGTAAATATACAAGAACTTCGAACACGAATATTTTGACAATAGAGAAACACTTGTTTAAATGTATAACGCCGCATCGAGGCGAAGTTCTTTAAACATTTTGTATCGTGTATGAACATTCATAAAAGTTTGATGTATTTTCTAAAAAAAAAAAAAAAAGTGTACTGTATAAGTGAGAATGTAATATATTTATCTATTCAACATATGAATGTGAATCTTTCGTTAATTCATCGCCGTGACATTAATTCCTATCCATTGAAACGAACAACATCGCGAAATCTCGGAAGTATCTTGGGGAACAGATGTTTAAATATCCGCGCGAATTCGTTGATTCGAAGTGGCGTGAAAGGAGTTTCCGAAACCTGTCGCCAGATGGCGTCTCTGAGTACCGAATACGCAGGACGTTCCAGCGGCATCGGAATTAGTTGTGCGTAGACAATTGTTCGGTAACGAACGTGAGGGGAGTGATATGACTTCACTTTGCACAGTGAATGTACAATCAATCCACTTGTGAACGTACGATCAATTTACTTGACAGACAAGAGCGTGAAAGTTCAGGATCCCTTTTTGAACGTACGTTGTTCATTTTCACGCTTCGAAGTCGTTGCATCGCAAAAGGCGTTGCTCGATTTGACAACACAACAGACACATAGGAACGCATTGCAGCCGTTGGTAGAAAGTCGTACGAAGTGTTGAAAAATCGATGTCCACCGTTTCGTAGCCACCACGTGCATATACGCAGCTATGAATTCAATCGTAGGTATGTTTAACGATTGGAACGCCTCGTGCAGTAATCGTATTAAGGATCTGCGAATGATTCGAGAAATGTGTATGCATGAGAAGTAAGAGAAGCAAAAGAGAAGAGCGTGTAACAACGTCAACGTGGTTAGACATCGGAAAGAGATTTGATATCCTGTAATACAGCAAGTATACAGACAGTAATGCCCGAGGGTCGAGGGAGCGCGGTGCATGGCGTAATGCCACCGCACTATCTGCACGAGTTGCCGGCAGAGGACGAGAAGAGGTTTGAAAAGATATTCCAGAAACTAGATCTCGATGGGAATGGAAGAATCGACGTGAAAGATCTGTCGAAAGCACTTCGTAATGTTGGTGTCGATAAATATTACGCGGAGGTACGTGTACAATCCTGTAATTCATATCTCGTGCTCGCGCTGCATAGTACGATCGAATTCTGCATAATGCAGAGATGAATGCGACGTTCGAGTATCGACTAGAAATTCACATTCACGTGCATGGCATTGTATTTTAAAACTTTTTCAAAAATAGCTTCCGATTAAGGGTTTTTATATCAAGTATATTTTATGTAGAATACTGCTTTGCTAATTGGCTGGAGCCAGTTACCTTGCTAAATGCCTTGTTAACTGGACGTCGCCATCCCCACCATCTTTTCATAGAGCAGAAGTTCTGGCATTGCAATAGCGTTTACGTTAACTGACCATGAATCGGAACCTTGCCTGACCAGCTATCGTGAAATGTGTATTTATAGGAAATTTCAAGTACGTATTCTCTCTTTTTTTGTTCAATGTACTGACACACGTGTTTGTCTTGAAAGTGTAACGTTTACCAAGGCGGTTTTAAAAATTAGTGGGGATAGCAATGGTCAGTTAACGTGATACTGCTACTGATAACTAAACAAGTCTCGATATTTGATTGTTTTCACGTAGAAATGTCATTATCTCGTTCTATCGTTTCATTTCTCTAAAATTTTTGATATAGATTTTCTTTACTAATTGACCAGATTTGGTCTCAATCCAATGTGGCCAATTAGCAAGGCAATACAGTATGCAGGTCATTTACAATTAATGAATGTCACCATACTGTACAATCGAATTTGGATCGGATATGTATGCATGCATGCAACTTCCAAATGTCAAATAAAAGTCATTTCTTATATATACGATGTTCTTTAACTTTTTAAGACAATACTTAGGAATGTATTATGAAAGCTTTCAAAATATATGGTTTCATTGAATCTCTAATCATAGACAAAGATTGATTTGATTTCTAATAGAGAAAGCACATCTAAGTATTCCATTTTAATTTCTAATGATTTTAAAAATTTTATTTATTAAATGTTTATTAATTTTTGAGAAATTGTGATTGTGATGAGTATGTATAATATTTAAATATTTAAAAAATATATATATTTTAAGATATTAATTTATTATATATTTATAATATATAAATATATATAATTTATATAATTATATAATTATATATATATAATTATATATTTTTATATAATATAATTATATATTTTTATATAATATAATATATATAATATATATATAAATATACATTTAAATATACAATTTTAAATATAAAAATATATAATAAATATACAATTTATTATATATTTTTATATAATATAATGTATATATAAATATATATAATTTATTATATATTTATAAGATATATATTTTTATTAATTTATAATTATAGAAATATAATTTTTGAGAAATTGTAATTGTGATTGTATGAGTATGTATAATATTTTAATATTTAAAAAAAATATATATTTTAAAAAATACAAATCATAAATAGCGTGTATATTTATTATAAAATAATAGTGTAAAATAGTTTATGTGAGAAATCTGACATAATATGAGTAAAGTTTATCATGAACTTTGAAATCTTGAACTTTACTCGTTACATGACTCTTTTTTCTACTCTTTCAGTTGTTTAATACATCATTGAACAATATATTCACATAATTTCTATTCTAATTAATTAATTTACGATGTCTGAAATATTTTAAAGAAATTTATTTTATCATACATTTTTCTACGTAATTAACATGGTTCAATGACCTTGAATTTATTGTAATAGTAATGATTTGAGATGTTTGTACGATTTTATTTAATTTATGGAAGGTTGTCATTGATATTCTTGAAGCCGAACGAGGTATATTGTACTGTAGTTTGTAGTTAATACAATTTACATGGTTTCATCAAGGTTAATACCCAGTATTTTTTTAAAGCTTCAACAGAAAAATGCTATCCTAACGTTCCGAAGTAAATCTCTTTCATTGATCCATAAAAATTACTGTAACAAAATACTTTTTCGTTTTTATAAAAATTAAAGAAACGTGTGTTAATTAATAAATTTTATATAACTTAAATGTTTTAAGTTAAATGTTATAACTTAAATGTTTTAAGTTATATAACTCTTTTTTTTTTTTTTTTTTTTTTTTTTTTTTTCAGAAATTTTTGGCCAGATCCGATAGTACCAAGAGCGGCGATATTACACTTGCCGAGTTTATACACTATGTACGCGAACACGAAAAAAATCTGCGTCTACAATTCTCTCATCTTGACACGAATAAGGATGGTCAGTAGATGTACGAGAAAATGTTCATTATTCAATATATATATAATAGAAAACGTGTTTACGTTCATTAGCGATTTTCCAAGATAATTTTATTTGAAATAATTTTTTATCCATTGATGTTTAGATACTATTTTAATGAAATATATTCTACAGTTAGATGTTACCTAAACTGTAAAAATAATTAAATGATATAAAATACTCTTTTGTATGATATTCCATTTTTGGTAAAATTTTCTGACTATTAGTGAGTATTTTCTTATAGATCATAACTTTTGATCTGAATCTTCAAAAGAGCAAAAATTCACCAAATAAAGTAATACCAATGACTTTGTTTGTTTGAAATTTGATTCAAAATTAAATTTTAACAAATATTTATAATATTTCATAAAAAAATATGTTATTAGTGGATAAAAAATTGCTTTATATGAATAATAAGATTTTGGAGTTATATAAATAATAGATAGAAGATTAAGATAGTTGACAATTATAAATTTACTCAATCAAAAACAATTCGCAACTTACAAAATTCATAACCATTACTTGTCCTTTACTTGTTAGTATTTTACTCATTGATAGAATTATTAATCTTTACCGTATCATAATCGGGATTCATTTTCACAGGTAAAATCGATCTAGAGGAATTAATAAAAGCATTTGAAGAATTGGGAATAAAAATGGATTACAATGAAGCAAAAAAATTGTTGCAGCGGTGAGTTAAATCCATGATAACTTACTACCTTAATGTTTTATTTTTATATCAGGTTGAAATTTATTTTTTTAATTGATACAAGTATAAAAAATAAAATGTAACTCCACAATATCGTATTTTAGAATGGACAAGGATGGAAGCCTCACTATAAGTTTCAACGAATGGCGAGATTTTTTGCTTTATGCACCGAGTACCGATCTTCTGGGTCTTATTGAATACTGGCATCACACCAACGTAAGTAACTAATACTAATCTACATTGAAAATCGCTATGTATTATTTCATTATTACTCTTTTATTCGTTTCTAATCCAATTTACATCCGTCGTTAATATAATTAGCATAGAATTATTTTACATTTGTCGAAACATCGATTGCAGAACGCAAATAATTCTG